GATGGACGATGAACTTTGTACTTCCCAGGTAGGCTCATCTTGTTAATCGTGCATGCTTAAGTAACAATAATTTAAATATACACATATGTCCCTGGTTATATTTGTACAATGATATTCAAACCTCTGTCTATATCACAGTCACAACGATGGGATGTGCAACAGGTATTATCACCAATGATGTTGAGATACCTTTGTATACCTGGGTGATTGAGAAGCCGGCCACGCTTGCACAAAGGCAAGATAACCATCTTAACAAAACAGCGCATGGAAAAGACACAATAGCACCACCTACCAAGATGCTACGTGTAAGTCTCGGACCTCATGAATAGCAACGTACAGGGCTTGACGAGCTCGATTATATCCACAGACACGAACCCTTTGTCTTCTTTGGCACAGAAGAAGAATTTAAAACTCTTCAACTGGAATACTTCAGTCTAATCGACGAAATAGACAAAAATAATGCATTGCTGTCACATTGACTTTTATTATTCAATATTTTTTATAGTTCTTACAAATAATGCATTACAGCTGTCACATTGACTTTCATTATTAAATATTTATATAGTTCTTATAAATAATGCATTACAGCGGTCACATTGATTTTTATTATTGTTTAAATGGTTCTTTTTACAATGCATGAAATAAAGTCGGTAAGATAAAAGCAAGCCTCAGCCGCTAGACATAAGAAGTGAAGATTTACAAGGCGCACTTCTTGAGCGAGCAATAAAAACAATTTTGCTCTTCTATTGACTCTTTCTCTGGGAATACGGACACCAGCAATAATCTTCATATTGATATTTTGTACTTCTGTAAATTGACCTACTGATGGCAGCCTGGGAGGATTGTTATACGTAACGCCTTCCGGCAACAGATGTTCAACTTCAAAACCTCGGTCCCCCATCACAGAACAACCAGGTCATAATTTATCAAAAAGGTCTTTTTTTGCAGAGCTGTGATAAAACTCGGTCACTTATATGTCCTGGATACAGCGGCGATGCGTATACGCAATGTCCAGCAGCAGACATTGCAACTAGTTGTTTTGCAGTGTTGTGATGTTTGTAATTATTGTACGATGCTGCTTGTAAATTTTTGTCGCTACCCGTTTCGATAAAGTATTCTGTAGCATCAATAACAATAGCAAGCATATTATATTCCTCTCGGTAGCACGGTAACCGCAATCCATTGACTATACTAGGATCTAGTAGGTTCATCGGATTACGAGCTGGGTGCCTGAAGAAGGACAGTAAAGCAATGTTGGTATCCCGGAGTATATTACCAACTGTATGCGTACATGCTATACCAAAAGGATGTCCTACTACTCCAATCTCCTCGTTGTGTCGCACTCTCACAAACCACACCAAGATTGCATACTCAAACGATTTCGTACGAGCTCCAATATTAAGGTGTCTGAGATTCTTTTTGAGTATTTGCACAAATCCAGTGTATTTTTTTATTGACTGAAAGCTCGTCCAAAACCTGAGATTTACTACAGGTCCATTGACTATGTAATTGTGTGATAAGTTTGGTATGTGAGGAGTTTTTACATAGTCATCGACCAGTATATGTCTGCTGGTGCGTAAGTTCCTTGCCTCCTCAACTAGCTTCGTTATTTCAGAATCTTTTACTTCCAATTCATCTTTCAATGATTTCACCGTTGACTCTCGCTCTTGTTTGAGATTTTGAATCATCTTGTCTTTTTCCGCCATCAGATTGATCGATTTGACAACTGACGATGATAGTGCCCTCAGTTCCTGATATTTCCCTCTTTTTGATAGAGTCATGGTCGACACTATATGAGACTCAGTGGGTCTATTGCGTAGCCCTGCACGTATTGATGGCGCGTCTGCAGATCCAATTAGATCTCTATATATACGCGTGGCAGTGTTGTATAAGCTCTGTTGTTCCTCATCCTCGTGATGTAAGCTAAATTTGTGTGTATCGTACTGTTCTCTAGTCACAGGAACAGCATTAGGCTGTAGTGTTTTGTTAGTTGTATTCTATTTGAAGTATTCTTCCCTGATATGTTTATCACACAGAAATATATTCTATTTGAACTCAAAATCTATGTCGTCCTGTGGGGTACGTTTGTTGAATCGCCCAAGGCGAGTCATAAATGCTATAAATCGTTCTCTTGACATGTGCAGGACACGACGCCCTGGATTTTGCACACTAATCTTATCTCTACAATACTCTGCACAACAACGCGTCATATTATAATTGACTAAGTGGCATAGAAGGTGGTCTACAGCGCTTATACGTGTGCGTTCATATATAAATGCATGTGTTGTGAAACTGATTTGTTAATAGATATTAAGAATAGAGGCTTGGAAACGGGGTTGAAAAAATGTTCTAAAAATAGGTATTTTTCAGAGGTCTATTGAATATCACATCTAGCAAATTTGATTGGGCAATTAGAAAACGTACCTGTAAAATTGTATGTACTTTTAGTGACTTTCCCATGTAGGCCATGTACATTCAGAGTATTTCCTTATAATTTAGTAACTACAGGACCAAAATATTAGAAACGGATATTTTCACAATCTACCGTTTTTAGAGAAAATCTCGTCCCACATAGGAACTTGATCAATAAATACAGCAGGCGCGCCGTTGACAACGGCACTTCTGACTGAGTTCACTTATTTCAGACTAACTCTCTTTATTAAGCGTTATTTGTAGAAATACGGCCTCCGGTCAGTCTAAAATATCAAGATCAATTGAGATAATACATTGGTTTTTATTTGTATTTTAAATAATTTAATACAAGCTCTTTTTCCACTATTTCCAAAG